ATACAACATATATTTATTTATATACTATTGGATTTATAGAAAATTTTTAATTTTTTTTCTATAACTTTATTTTTCTTAATGATTCTTAATGTCATAGTAACAAGTATAAAAGAAGATAATTAGGCATTCCAAAACTTTAAAAAGCATTACTAAGAGTATCACTAACAAATTTTTTATAGTAATAAGAAAATTTCATAATGACAAAAAGGGATTACAAAAGATTTGATACATAATTTATTCTAAAATACATTAAAAACTGCAGTTAATCAATTTATACAAAAAGAATATTTGAATATATATTTGAAAGTGTAAATTCCTATATAATCATTATATAACATATTGGCAAAGCTTACACTTTTTTAGATATATATTCGAATATGATAAAAAAGTAATTTTGAAAATATTATTAAAAAATAATACCTAATTATTAGTATATACTTGGATATACAGTGAAACCTTTCTAAATGCATTCTTCCTAAATGCACACATATATATTTTTCTATAAATGTACATTCCACACAGCCCCAAGTATATAAAGATCATACAAAATTTCTCTCTTTAAATGCACACCCTCCTTAAATGCACATTTTTTCAAATTTTTACTATGTTCCCAAGGGGGTGTATTTAGAGAGGTTTCACTATATATTTAAAAGATATTTATTATTTAGTTTTAGGATTTATTACAGTTTTTTATCAAGAATTTTAGATTTCTTGGTAGTCTCTTAAAAATTATGAGAAAGTGTTAGAAAAGTGTTAGAAATTGAAAGCATAGTAAATTATGATAATTTAGATTAGCATTATTCCATAATTTCAGTCAGATTTTTAAATACAATTCTTAGCATTTTAGGTATTATTTCAGATACTATTCTAGGAATAGTAATAAAAATGTATATTTAAAATTTAAGATACAGTAAATTAACTAATTTTATCTAACTCTATTTCATAATTTCTAATTGATTTAAATCATAATATTTTAGCATCTAAGCTGATATAGAAGTGACTTAAAACTAGTAAACTAATAAAATATCTTCAGTTTCTTACTAGTTTCCAATTAGTTTCTAGGTATTACCTTGATGCTGATATGTAATCAAGCTGAATTTCTCAAATCATATAATATAAAGATCAGCTAGAATTATGGCATAATATTAGCTAAAATTAATTAGCAATTTATTGCATTATTATTATTTTTTTAATATAATCTTGATATCTAAGTATTTTAATAGGCATTTATATAGGTGCAAGAGGTAAGTGTTCTTAATATAAAATCAGATATCCAAATGGATACAGAAGGTTAACACTTTTAATATAGAACCTAGCTTGTAAACAAGGTAAAAATAAGAAGAAAATAGAAATAATTAGATTAAAGCATGATAGTATTTAAATTATAGAGTGGTAATAAATAATAATAATAATCCAAAATCACAAATAGCAATAAAGGTCTAAAGAAATAGTCAGACTACAAATAAGATGACTGATAAATACAATACTAGTAAATAAAGAGTAGTAAATATGTTATAAATCCTAGGTTATAGAGTGGTATCTAGATTATAGAGATTAGATTATAAAGTAATATTAGTAGTATTCAGATTATAGAGTGATATTTAGATTATAGAGTTGTATTCAAGATATAGAATAGTTTTATAACCTAGTTTAAGTGGTATAGCATTATTTATACACAAGTACAGCTTATAAAACCTTTTTTATTTTCAAGAAATTCCTGCTTATTTGCTTATTTTCATCATTATTTAATATAATAATAATTATTATTTTTATTTTTATATCTGTTTATGAATTATTAAATTCAAAAATTATAATATATATAAAAATAAAAACTTATTAATTATTTACAGTAAGGATTTTAGTAAAATTAGAAAATTTAATATTTTAATATTATAATAAATTATTAAAAAAAATAATGAATTAATGTTTATATATATATATATATATTTATTTATAAAATCTACTACTTTTTCTACTATCTTTTCTCTTCTAAATGAATTACCGTAATATTCATTTTTAAGCTTCTTGCTTCACTCAAATACCTCTTTTTTAATCTTCTTTTTCTTCTGTATTCTCTACTGATTCATCACTTTCTTTTCTGTTATTTTCTTTCTTCAACATATTGTCATCAATTTAAATTGTTTGCTGATTGGTTGATCTAAACGATCGACCAAATTCAAATTTTTTGAGAGTATTTTAATCTGGAAAGTTTTTGTTTTTCCTTAGAAATTGAGAAATGAGTAAAGCAATACCTACACTTAAAACCTTTGAAATAATAGTTAGTCCAGAAGGAGTAGCTATTCTAACTTTGAATAGACCTGAACGCGCAAATGCATTGAATAATGAAACTTTACAGGTAATAAAACGTATAATTTAAATTCATAATATATCCAAACAACTCGAATTTTACTTAAAATGTTGGTAGGATTGGCTTAGTTCGATTGAATGGGCAAATGAAGCGGAACAAGTTAAAGTTGTCGTAGTAACTGGAAAAGGAAACTTCTTCTGTAGCGGACTGGAATTAGCAAATATATCTAACGAGGAAGAATGGACAAGAAATGCAAAAACTAATGTTAATATATTTAGGTAAGTTGAACTTATTTGTTAATTAAAAAATATTTATTTTTTAAACTAAGTTATTATCATAGAAAATTGGTTGATTTGTTAATTGATTTTCCCAAGTTGTTGATAGCAGCTGTTAATGGTAAATAATTTGTTTGATAAAGTTTTTAAAAGGGTTATATTCTCAATTTATAATTTTATATCTGTATATAGGAAAAGCGTTTGGATTTGGAGTTACGTTTCTACCACATTGCGATGTCGTTTATTCAGTGCCGGAAGCAACTTTCCTAACTCCATTTATGCAGTGGGGTAATTATTTTTTTTTCCCAAGTCAAATTAGTGGTTTAAAATAAAATGATTTATATAAGCTAAGCTTCTAATAATATTAGCATTTTGTGCGGAAGGATGTTCTTCGTATTTATTTCCAAAGTGAGCTTAAATAACAAATTTAATTATTATTATTATTATTTTTTTTTAAAAAAAAAAATAAAAGCAAAAAAATTAATAAATATGGTTTTTTTTTATTGTTATAAGATATCTTGGACAATCAATTGCTAATGAAATGTTGGTATGGATCATTACGCCGGAAAAGCATCAATTCGTTATATTCAAGTTTAATTTCGGTTTTATTTTTTATAGTTAATGAGCAAAACATACGCGGCTCCAGAATTAGCAAAAGTCGGCTTCATCAGGTAAAATTTAATGAAATAAGTCATTATCATGCGTCTAATTCATGTTCTAAACCGAAGAATTCAATTGGATTTAGTCGTTTAATACCAAAAGATCATTTAATTCAAGAGACACTAAAAGAGGCGACGAGAGTTTCTAAATTTTCTTACGAAGCTATAATACAATCGAAGGAATTAATCCGTAGGAATGAAAGAGAATTTTTACATAAAATTAATCAGCGTGAAAATGAGTTATTATTATTAAGGTATTATTCATAAAAATCAATCGATTTTTGTTTATAATTAGAGGTTGAATCATTTATTTACTCATTTATTTTATTAGAATAATTTCTGAAGATTCTCGTCAAGCTATTTTTAAATTTCTAAGTTAGTTTACTAAAAATTTTTTTTTTTAATTTTTTTTTCGAATTATGTCTTATATTATTACTTTATATTTAGCGAACCGAAACAAGAAATCTAGTAAATTGTAGCCGAGAATATGGAATTATATGTAAATCTAATTATTTGGAAAATGTATTTATAAAGAGTCTATCTGCTAAAACCTTTTCCCGTTCACGTGTCAATTCGTTATAAATTATGAAAACATATTTGTTGCACAAAAAGTATAACTTTAAACTTTTCCCGATCGGATTGATAGCATACTAATAAGGAAATTTAATTAATCAGCAAAATTATTTATCTTTCTCACATGTTTTGCAGACCACAAATTTATTTTCTGCGACGAGTATCTTCTACTAGATATTTATCTGGTTTATCAGATTCCTTTAACAAGTCATTTTCAAATAAAATGTTTTCAACCGTTCACCATTCTTTATTAAATAAACCTGCTCCTACTAACCTTGTACTTAAAAATCAAAATGATGAATCGGTTGAATTAAAATCTTTGGTTGGTAATGGTAAACCATCAATCATATTCTTTTATCCCAAGGATGAATCTTATGGTTGCACCAAAGAGGTAACCAATCCTTTATAGAAAGAAAAGATTAATTTTTTATTCTTCTAAATCGTATGTTGAATTCGTCTTAATTTTAGGTATGCAGTTTTCGTGATTCTTATTCTGTTTTCTCCGATGCTGGTGCTACCGTAGTTGGTATATCTTCGGATCCTGTTGATAAACACAAGACATTTTCTGATGCTCAAAGACTTCAATTCCCTTTATTATCCGATCCAAACAATGAAGCAAGGAAGCTCTTCGATGTACATACTCATTCTCTATTTTAAAAATTTCTTATCGATTTAAAGAGTAACTTTTTTTTTTTATTTCATTTAGGTTCCAAAGACTTTAGGCATGTTGCCTGGTAGAGTTACTTTTTTAGTCGACAAAGATGGTGTCATTCGCGATGTTTTCAATTCCATGATAGATTTTGAAGGACACGTTAAAAAATCTGTAGAATTCGTTAAAAATCAAACCTCACAACCTAAAATTTAAAAATGTATTACGAATTTGGTAATTTTGTTAAATTTTTTTCTTTATTAATTTTCCTATTATATTAGCTTAACCTTACATATAAAAAATATATGTATAATAAATAAAATAAACCAAGAAATTTAAGTGAAATTTGCAATAAAATTTCAATCCGTTATATATATAATGTTTCTTACCCAATCATCTCAATTCAAATAAAATAAAAAATACACGTGTATTCATTCATTCACAACAAAAGTTATATAAAAAAAAAAATTCAGAAAATTTTAATTCACGTCTATTACAAGAAGAGGAAAAAAAACCAATTTGATAAATAAAACTTTTCACCGTGATAATCCTGCACCATATCCATTATACCCTTGTGGAGCAGAAGGATTTGGAGCTTGTCCAGTTGTTGTGGTGACTTGAGATGACGGATACTGGCCATAAGGACCAGGAGGACGTAATGGCGGTGAAAAAGGAGGTCGATTAGCAGTCGAAGTTCCAAACGCAGGTGGTGGTGGTGGACGAGCTGATTAGGAGAAATTTATAAGTTATGATATTAGGGTTTATTGAAAAATATTCAGATAAAACATCTAGAAGCTTTTATTGATATTCGCACCTTGTGCCACATTTATAACAGATGGTCTAGGTTGTGATTGTGTTGTTGCCTGTGTAGTTGTTCCCGTTGCATGATATCCTCCGTACACATTTGTCGGAGAAATCATTGAAGATTGGATGGCAGGACGAGGCATTCCAGTATTTATTTGTGGTGGGGCCGGTATTTGTGCGCGAATTCCCATCATTGGTGGTGGAATCGTAGGTGGACGAACGTCCGCAAATAACCGATTAGGCAAACTTTGATTTTTCTTTGCTTGAGCTGCCAACAACCGTTCTATAAAAACAAGATGTAGAAAGTTTTAAAACCGTGATGTCGGATGATGCATTTTTTTTTTTTAAAAAAAAAGCATGTATTTGAAGGAAAATACGAACCTGCAGCACTTCCATGTCGTTCACCTTTACCATCCTTTTTGAACGCATATGACACAGTGATTGATTTATTCATCAAATATTGCCCATTCATCGCATCAATTGCTGCATCTGAAGAATCGAAATTATCGTATGAAATAAATCCATACCCTTTACTGTTACCAGTATCGGGATCTCTTGCAATCTAAAAAAAAAAAAAATAAACAATTTTAATAATATAAAGATATAAAACAAATCAAAAACAAACCGCATACCTTTGGAGTCTGCACGATAACACCAAAGGCACTGAATGTATCATATAACATTTTTTCATCGACATCAGGATCCAGATTGCCTATGAATAATGAAGCGCCCACGTCCAAATTTTTCTTATCCGACGTTGCCTAATAATAATGATACGACAAAGTGTCAATTGTTTTATATAAAATAACAATTGGAAAATCAATGAACCTCACCCACTCACTTTATTAACACGTATAGGCTTTCCGTATAATTTGATCTGATTCATTATTTTGATAGCATAATCTGCGTCGTCTTCACTCATATACTCACAAAACCCATATCCTTGATGGGTTTGAGTTACGCGGTCTTTTGGTAAGTGAACATTTACTATTGAATGGTAAAATACTAATTATTGATCGAAGCTTGACAAAAAAAATAAGCAAGTAGAGGTTGAGAAAGAAACTTGCCGACGGGTCCTGCTTGAAGCATCAATTCCCAAATAAGAGCTTCAGTGCAACGTTCATCAAGATTACCAATGTAGACAGTAGCATCTTGATTACGTTCCTCAGTTAAGCGAGACATTTTTTTTAAAAAAAAAAGGTCGAAAGTTCAAAAAGTTTTTTCAATAGTAATCAAATCTCATATTAAAGTTGGCCCAGCATAAATGGCTTAAATTAAGATTTTTAATTCCGGCCAAAATCACAAATTTTTTTTTTTTTTTTTTTCAATGTAAGAAAATGAAGTTCGTTATTATTATAATAACTACTACGCGACTTATAAAGAATGTCATTTTACCATTTTTAGTCACTTTTTATATCAAAATTGACGTGGAATAATTTAAATTGGTTATGATGATCTAACTTTTGAATGTAACATGAATATTTTGAGGAATTTCATCTAATGAATAAATCCTTCCACTTTTTTCGCGTTACAAATCATACAAGGAATAATTATGAAACAACGAATTTTTTTTTTACAACATAAAACGAGCTTAAAACTAATAAAATCACCATGAACTATAAGAAAAGCAATTATCGGTAAATAATTAAATTGCAAAGATATATTATCGCACGAAGTAAATTTTCACAGAACGTTTGAATTTTTTTATTGTGAAAGAAAAAAATTTTTTTTTTATTTACACAAACACCAGATTAGAAGAAACATAATTCCAAATAGTTTTTTTTTTTGGAAGTAAAAAGGTATTGAAAATTTATATGAATAATTTTTGTAAAAAAAAAAAAAAATGTATACAAGAGGAAAAAAAAGAAATAAAATTGAAATGAAATGAGGGAAAAAAGAACCCTCAATACGGATGTTTTGTTTAAACTAATACATGATTCACTTTGTATTATAACATGTAGAATAAAATCAAGAATAAGAAAATATCAATATATTTGTTCGAACAAAAAACACCTTGATCACGTGACATTTAGCTAGCCTGGTTCTAAAAAAAAAAAGAAGGTTGAAATTTTTTAGTTAAAAACGTGAGGGAAAAATTCACCAATACTTGCAAACAATAATGAATTCCTTTAGATAACGGTTTCCAAGAGAGAACAAATAAACGAAAAAAAAATACCTTTGGATTATCAGGGCTGTTTTTCCACCGTTCAGCAACCAACTTGAAAGCGGCTTTATGTTCAAGGTCAGGATTTTCAGCCTTAACTTTAGGAAGTTCAGACTTCATGAAGGCGTTATATGGCGAGAGTTTTCTCTTTCCACCTAAAAATTTTATATTATAATTTTAATAGACAGAGAAATATATTAGAAGAACGAGCGACATATTAAGGTATATATAGAAATATATGTACAGTCGCGGTCTAACAAAGTTTGTCAGCGCGGTATACAAGCAGTTAAAAAAAGCGTGAAATAACGTGGAGGTTGGGCTTCCCCTTCCCCTACAAAGTATTCTTTATAAAAACAATTTGGATGGACACGCTCTTGAATTAAGAGGGTTTAAATTTCCCATATATAATATATATTCATATTTTAACTTGAAAAAAGACGAAAAATACTCACCACTGGTAGCTTTCTTTGTTGGTTTGGCTTTAGGCATTGTGAATTTTCAAGTTGAGAACTAGAGGTTTGGTAAGATGATGAGCAAGTTGATATATGTTTGGTAGTAGCGAGAAAAGCAGGTATGTTGGGGGGTTTGACTCGACGGTATTTTTTTCCTCTATTATATATGTGGTATATGGGGTGTATATGTATCTGTCTTATGGGGGGATTTTTTTTCAATTATTTTTTATCATATCAGTATATTGCAAATATGTGACATACATATTCTAATATCGGACAGCCTTACATATGAAGTATATTCTTCATATGCGGATTTAGTACACCCTAACACTAGCAATACTCACATCGGCGCAAAAAAGTAATCTAGTATTACTTAACATGTATTCTTATTATATATCATATATACTAAAAAAAAAAATAAAAAAATAAAAAAAATTCTTTATTATAACTTTTCATATTTTCGGTTATTGTATCTCATATTTTGTTACTCACAGCCCAGAGCAAAAAGACCCACTGATAACAACTTGTCAATTATATTTTCATTTAATAATAAACAAGTAAACTAATAAATTCTGTTCGTTTAAGCGGTTTATAAGGTGATGATTGACAAAGAAATCACAAGGCTTAATAATGAAATATCTCTACGGCTAAATGAGGAACTGGAAGAATAATTAATTTGCTGCGCCTCATTATTTACAAGATAACAAGTTCATATACAAGTCAATATTGGGAATTGTTGCACCTGGCAAATAAAAGTATTAACGTGATATATACACATATAGTAATCATAAACACCATATGACCATATGAATGCATTACTTATTATGCTTATTATATATTCGTATAATATAAAAGTCATCTGATAGTAAGAATTCATGGAAAATCGTGTTCAATTAAGGCTTTGTTAGTGGGTTATTGTGTAATAAGTTTACTATTATGTGCAATAGGACCTTCTTTTTTCTTAATGGAATGAAAAGAAAGAAAAAGAAATATTGCCATCCACGCCCACTCTATAATAATATTAGTATGTGTAATAATAGGTTCGTTATCAATGAAACAAAACCCTCTTTTTTTTTATTTTCTTTTATTTAAAACGGGGTGAATTTTACTTTCCCCAAAATCTCTTAAGAAAATACCCACACTCACCTTACACAAAGGTATGAAGGGGTATGTGAATTGGTAAATCCGGCGTACAAGTTTACCTTCGATAACAAATCCATTTACTTATAAAAAATTCTCAAACTTTGAATTCCAGTTCAATATTTAGAATCCCAAGGTAAATTCGGACTTGCTATATCTGATGAATAAAATGTAGAAGTTTCAAAATATCTAGAGTCGATCTTTCATTTTATTGTATATAAATTCATGTATGTAAAATTAATTTAAACGTGTATGGATAAGTCATTTTTTTTAATAGAAATATCTTTTTTTTATTTTATTTTTGTAATAATTGTTTTTTATATATTTCTTTCTATGTAGTTTTACATAATAATCGTTAATTTAACCATATTTTGATTTTCATCATTTAAACATTAAGATTAAAAAGATTACGGCATCAAAATGTACTACCAACTCTTCGGCAATATATTTGTTACATACTTTTCCAAAAATTTAATTTTTAAAGGTTTAGACTTTTTCCTGTGTTTAGAATTGTTTTCTTAAATATGTAATACCTTTCAAAAAAAACCAAAACTTCTAACCTGATTATCAGTAAAAAAAATATTTTTTTTCATTATTTTTATAGTAATTTTAATATAATTTTTTAATATCTTAGTTTTAATAAATTTAAAATATACAATCAGAATTTAATATAAGAATTTAATATAATAAACTCTTAATAAAAATGATTTTTTTAAATTATTTTTAAATGTTTAATTACAATATTAATAAATTTAATTATAATATAAATTGTAATATATTATTATTATTTTTGATAATTATAATGTTATCTTAATTGTTAATATAATAATCAATTAATAATTTTTGTTTTATTTTGTATTAAAATATATATATTATTGTATCAAATTTATAATTTTTAATAAAATGAATTTATTCAAAATTTTATAAAAAATGGTTATATTAAGTTTTGATTACTTAAACTCTTTTTTTAAAAAAAATAGGATTATCATTTATAAAAATTTAATTTTGGCATTTTAGTTTTGTCATTTCATAAGGTAATTTTAGCAAATATAAACTAATTCTGATTATAAATAATTTAAAATAATCTAAAATAATTATTTTAAATTTAAATAAAAATAATTATTTATAAAATATATCATTATAAATAGCATAATTATTTTATTATTAATTTATTAAATAAAAATTATATAATATTATATAAAATATAGATTTTATTTTATGTATTTGCACAAAATTCAGGAAAACATAAAAATATAAAAAGATTATTAAATTTAATTTTTTTACACATAATATAAATTTTTTACAATACATTATTTTTTGTATATATCTCTTTAATAATATAATATTAATTATCAAGATACCTTAGATATCTTATAAAGAGCAGGGTATAATAAGCAGTAAGGTATTTTAATAAAAAGTATTATATTAGAAGCATATATTATAAAAGAGTTAAGTGGGATACCACATATGATATAATTATATCATATGTAATATTCCACTTATTCTAGATTATTATACTACCATATATGATCTGAATAACACATACAATCTAAATAACACATATAATCTAAATAATATATATGATCTGAATACCATATATAATCTGAATATTATCCTTTAAATTATGTAGTTTTGCAGACAAATTTGTCTGCTTATTTACTATAAATTCTTCTTTGATTTACTTTTATAAATAATTAATATTTTAAAAAAAAATATTTTTTTAAATTAATTTTATAAATATATAATATATTATAACAAGTTTTTTCTTTTAATTATATAATAAAAAATTTAATGTTACTTAGAAATTAAAAATTTGTAATTTTTAGAAAAAATCTATTTTAAAAAATTTTATGATTAATCTATGATAAAATTTTTGGAATTTACTTTTAACAATATTAATCATAATAAAATATTATAAAATTACTTATAAAAAAAACTTTTATTATTATAATTTTTATAATTAATTATGAAATTTTATGATTTTAATTAATGATAAAGTGATTTAATTAGTATGTAAACATATAAATTTTTAAAGAATTTTTAAATAAAATTTTGAAACTTAATTTTATAATTAAATTATTTTAAAAACCTTTTAAAAAACTTAAAATCTTTGTTAATAAAATTGATAAAATATATATTAA